CACTAAATAAAATTAATTGTCAGTTACATCAGTATCATGTGGAAAATTCAAAGTTCAGGAATAAAATTATGTGATTTTGTATCGATAGTGGGACTTAAAGGGAGAAACAATTCATTTTATTGACTTCAAGGCTACTCCTTCTTCCTCCTTATAAGCAGGAGTTATCATCCTCTTCTTTATTACCTGACATCTGCAAAGTTGAAAATAATTATGGAAGTATCTGCTCCACAAATTTTACAAAAGCGTTATTTACAGTTTTCTTTGCTTATATTTTTATGTTTATTTATGTCTGGTGCAAATACATTTCTGCAGTTATTTCATAATATCAACCTAAGATATGGATACATCACTCACCACCCTTTAATTTACATTGTCACAAAAGTGATTGCATGCAACGAGAACGGAGATCTAAATAGTAGATACTTCCTCTGCGCTCTGTTTCCAATCGAGCAGAACGGGAAGGTATGTATCACGCATGGGGATATCACACACATGAAAATATTATATTTAAATATTTATTTTCATGCATAAAAAACCCATTATTTTTCATGTCTTCATTTTTTCTCTTTCTGAATCCTAAGATGCGCAAGGAATGTGTCACTTTTCTCTTTTCCCCGACTGTATAAATCTACCTCGTTCTGTCCCGGCGTTCGCCATTCTGAATGTGCGTGAATAATGGTTCCTCTTCCTGCTTACATTAAATGAGCTGATTGGCTGCATGAGACTCTACAATGGTTCCACAACAATGCGATATCTCCCCTGCACGCTCTAAATATCCACCGGGGTCTGCAGTTTCTCGAATTTGGATTACAAAAGCCACTAAAAATATATATATTCTATGTTATAGAAGCAGAACTGGGAGGGTATACTCTTTGGAGTACACTAAAACTTTCAAAAGTGTTTTTGTGCTACATCACAGCTGTGACGTCAACAGGATAATTAAAGAAATAAAAGACACAACACTGATGTCATAAGAAACGGTTGTGCCTGAGGTAATTCTTGCAACAATGCGATCAAAATTATTGTTGCAAAAGTTTTATCCAGGGTTATTATAACAATGTAATTAGATAAGAGACAGTCAGACATACAGGAACCCATAAGGTGATCTTCGCTTAAGGTAACGTGTAAGGAACACTTGAAATGAGTTTCCACCACCTTCTGATTTTGTAGGCAACATTGTTCGATGTAATTAGCTTTCATAGAATGAAAAGTTATTAATCAGTTTTGCAATGAAGTGATGTGAACTTAATTTACAATCCGGCGCTGAGATTAGATCCCCTGACGCTAAATGTTTTGCAGTTTTTACTTCAAACCGTTCAGACACCCGCTATATATCGGATGACCTGCTCTCCACGTGTTTATCTGTAATGCATAATACAGTACGAGGTGCGATCGGAAGGTTTCCAGACTGCGCGTATAAAAACCCGTACACTTATCTCGGGTATTAAATTCATCCATCACCCTCGAAGTAGTTCCCCTGGGAGTGAACACAACGATCCCAGCTTGACAGGCTGACAAAGAAAGATTTCCAGGGATGCTTCCAGGCTTGGCAGCGGCGCCGGGATCGTTGTGTTCACTCCCAGGGGAACTACTTCGAGGGTGATGGATGAATTTAATACCTGAGATAAGTGTACGGGTTTTTATAGGCGCAGTCTTGAAACTTTCCGATCGCACCTCGTATCTACCATACTGAGACTGCATATTTATTAGATATTAAACGCTTTGGAACACATAAGTAATATTCTTTGGATTGAAGTAGACTTTTCCAATCTCAAAAGACAGACTGGCAGATTAACTAGTGAACTAACAAACCAAATAACTAAAAACTATCGTCCAGTAGTTGCTGTGTAGTACTACAAAGTAGGCTCAGATTGGTACCTTCCATATCCTTTACAGTTCACAGTTCTTCATAATTCTTTTACACCATTTTATGCTGATCAAATTATGCAGTTTATGGAAAGTCGATAAATAACCGACGAACTTACCAGTGTTTTTCATTGTGTTCTTCTGTGTTGTGAAGCTGTTTAGTCTTGAGTTGGTTACCAAAATGTCGGAGGAATTTTCTCGCCTCCATTTTCAGAGCAGAACAACTTTACAATCCAAAAGACCACCTTCGAACTTCACATTTCAGATAATTTTTTTGTTGAGGTTTCTCTCAATAATGCAAAACAAATACCGAGGTAGTATCATTAAATAGACCATTTCCCGATTGACTGAAATTAATCACAAACACATCTATCATTCCGCTCTGTGCCGTGTAATCTATGCGGTGATGGAACGTCTCTAAATAATACACCAGGAATTCAGCGTGGAAGGCCGTATTTCTCTCTCGTAACTCCAAGAGCGTGCCGTGGCGATGATTTGGTTTATGGCTGTTTTATGTTCTGTCAGTCCATTCCAGAAGCTAGTAATCATAGGAAAATCATATTCCTTGGCTAGATTGGTTTTAAGAGTCCCTGGATGAAGATGAAAACTTTAGCTATTCAAGATTAAGAACATTCACTACAGCAGATGGTTCTGCGTCTTTATGTAACCGAAGTTCATTAGTGACGTACATCTCCCACAATACAGAATAGCAGATCATTACGACGCCAGGCGACGGATATTATGGTCAGGTACGAAGCCGAACCATCTGTTTCATCATTCTGAATACGTCATTTCGTGTACAGAATGTAGCATAAAATATGAAACTTTTGTTTCAGGTAAGAAATTAATAATAATTTTGAGTATAGTACCGAAGTATAAACCCCCTCATGGAAAATGCTTTTAAATGTGTGAAATGTATGGATTACTATTTTCTGTTACATTATCTTTATTGGTCGGAAATTTTCATATTTATTTATCTGTTGACATAAATACCTCTATTTTGATCTTATTGTTTTCATATTACAAAGGGTTATATTACTGATATACTGTGAATTTGTCGTACCTGTGACAAACTTTTGGTTTCTATAATGGGATTCTGCTCTGCTTAACTAAACGATGATAATTATAATTATGCAGTTAGATATTTAATTGTTTAGGTAGGTAGATGCTTCGATATTACATTAGATACAATTCTACTAGTTAAATAATTATTGAAATAGATATTCAGTTAGCTAAGAATTTAGGCAATTAGGTAACTAGTCATTTAAATGGTTAGCTAATTATTAGAAATTTAGTTATATATATCTACTTAGTTAGGCACGAACATATTTGGTTTGTTAATTAAATGTTTTAAATCATTTCCAGGCGGTATTTTATTTAAAAAAAAGGTCTTTAGTTTGCATATGCCAATGGTACAATTTTTAAAGGAGACACGACAAACCACAGCAACAGAAATACAATGTCATTTAAATATTAAGCACGAAAAGTTTTGAGCACATTTGTCATTTTTCAAAAAGATGATACCAGTACAGAGAGAATGTTAATGTATATCTTACATTTAAAAAAATAAAGCTGATATTTTGTGTTAAATTAATTGATAAATATACAAGAATTAAATACAGTTGTTATAAATGACGCTATTGTTTTTAATATTATCACCGCGTCGTTGTGATAACATATGAAAATACTGTCAAAACCTTATTCTGTATATCAATTTTTCTTCCCTCCCCTTTCTCCATAGTCCTTTCGTCAGAATCTGTACCCATC